CCACCTTTGACCCCCCCTGATCCTTCTCCACCATTGACCCCCCCAGATCTTTCTCCACCATTGACCCCCCCAGATCCTTCTCCACCATTGACCCCCCCAGTTGTACCCCCCTAGTATGTATGATGAAATGCATAGTCTTAGCCCCCAAGTGCAGAACCTTACATTTATCAACATTAAACCTCATTGGCCCCATAGCCCCCCAATTACACAGAGCATTGAGGTCGGCTTGTAGGTTGGAGAACATCCTGTAAGGACGTTATTCCCCGGCACAGCTTGGTGTCATCTGCAAAGACTGAAACAGGTATGAGTGTCCAAGATATCAATGACACCAATGACCAATGACATTGTCCGAGACATGAATGGCACACATTGAAAAATTTTGTTGCAAAAAGAAGAGCGTTCCGGGAAGTAACCCGTACTTGGCACAGTTATTGAAAACAACACACTGGGTTGCATTGTTGCCAATATTGCACCTGAAATGCAGCGGCCATCAGGTCCATTCAGATTCTTCCCTGTTTTATCCTCTTCCATCGTGTTATGAGGTTTGGGTTAAAACAGATACATTGGCACATAACTGGTTGGAGGCCAAAATAGCAAGAAGGCTTCACTTTCGGCTATGGCCCAAACAGCCCTGCAGATGATGACAGGGAGTGACAGGCTCAGAGAAGCATTAGTGCCGATAGACTGGTGACTGCTCCAGGAAGGGTCCAACTGGGTAGTGTCTGGTTATGCAGGTGGGTGACGATGCCAGCAGGAATACAAGGTACACTTGTGGTGGAGTAGGTCAGCAGGTCAGGTTCAGCAGTAGGAGGTGTCATGACATGTTTAGTGGACGAAGGTGGTGCAGAATCAGAATGTTAGGGAGGAACTGGCGTGGCATAGTCAAGGTCAAGATCCAAACTGAGGTCATTCCGGGAGGAGTCGAGTAAGATAAAAGACAACAGCATGGTCAGGATTTAGAGTCAAGGTCATCAGGAGGATGAAGACAGCAGAATAGTCTGGAGCCAAGCCAGGATCATACATCGTTGATCAGGAGAAGCAGAGTCCATAAATGAGTGGTGGATCAGGTCAGCAGGTCAGGTTCAGCAGTAGGATGTGTGATGACACGTTTAGTGGATGAAGGTGGTGCAGAATCAGAATGTTAGGGAGGGACTGGCTTGGCATAGTCAAGGTCAAGATCCAGACTGAGGTCATTCCATGGAGGAGTCGAGTAAGATAAAAGACGAGCATGGTCAGGATTCAGAGTTAAGGTCATCAGGAGGATGAAGACAGAAGAATAGTTGGGAGCCAAGCCTGGATCATATATGGTTGATCATGAGAAGCAGAGTCCATAAATGAGTGGTGGATCAGGTCAGCAGTTCAGGTTCAGCAGCAGGAGGTGTGATGACACGTTTAGTGGACGAAGGTGGTGCAGAATCAGAATGTTAGGGAGGGACTGGCTTGGCATAGTCAAGGTCAAGATCCAGACTGAGGTCATTCCATGGAGGAGTCGAGTAAGATAAAAGACGAGCATGGTCAGGATTCAGAGTTAAGGTCATCAGGAGGATGAAGACAGGAGATTAGTCTGGAGCCAAGCCAGGATCATATATGGTTGATCAGGAGAAGCAGAGTCCATAAATGGGTGGTAGATCAGGTCAGCAGGTCAGTTTCAGCAGCAGAAGGTGTGATGACACGTTTAGTGGTCGAAGGTGCTGCAGAATCGGAATGTTAGGGAGGAACTGGCGTGGCATAGTCAAGGTCAAGATCCAGACTGAGGTCATTCCGGGTAGGAGTCGAGTAAGATAAATACAAGAGTATGGTCAGGATTCAGGTTAAGATCATACATGGTTGATCAGGAGAAGCAGAGTCCATAAATGAGTGTGGATCAGGTCAGCAGGTCAGGTTCAGCAGTAGGTGTGATGACACGTTTAGTGGACGAAGGTGGTGCAGAATCGGAATGTTAGGGAGGAACTGGCGTGGCGTAGTCAAGGTCAGGATCCAAACTGAGGTCATCCCACCGAGGAGCCGAGAAAGATAAAAGACAAGAGCATGGTCAGGATTCAGAGTCAAGTTCATCAGGAGGATGAAGACAGAAGAATAGTCTGGAGCCAAGTCAGGATCATACTTGGTTGATCAGGAGAAGCAGAGTCCATAAATGAGTGGAGGCCACAACTAGTGGTCAAGCAAAAGGGGAAGTCCATGTCAGAATAAAGACAGAATACACGGGAGCAAGGAACACAGGAGGCAACCCAACAATCTTCTTAAATAGGGCATCTTGTGCCAGTTCTGGAATTGGACACGAGCCAACATACACTTGCATGCATCTTCATTCAAACAAGCAGGACGCTGGCCTGCGTATTGGCGGACGTGGACCTTTGTGTCTTGACACACATCCACTTGCCTGACTCAACTGACCAGCACCCTTCGCAATCCCCGACACCTAATGAATGGCGCAGATGGAGGGTTCCAATTTAAATAAATGGATGTTTGGGGCAAATGAACAGCAATACCCGTGTCAGTGTACAGGATTCTATCATTCATCCAATCCCTGGATTGGCCAGATTTCGGTGAATGCAATGGTTGGATTTTTTTTAACCAATGCTTTTTTGATGAAGAGATCTCGGAAATGTGAGATCTCGAGGATGCATGATCTTGGGACTGCAATGTTGGTTCACTCCATTGATGATGACAGGGAGTGACAGAGAAGCATTAGTGCCGATAGACTGGTTTGCTGGTGACTGCTCCAGGAAGGGTCCAACTGGGTAGGTCTTAGTCAGGTGGGTAAGCATGCCAGCAGGAACACAAGGTACACTGGTGGAGGAGTAGGTCAGCAGGTCAGGTTCAGCAGCAGGAGGTGTGATGACACATTTAGTGGATGAAGGTGGTGCAGAATCGGAATGTTAGGGAGGAACTGGCGTGGCGTAGTCAAGGTCAAAATCCAGACTGAGGTCATTCCAGGTAGGAGTTGAGTAAGATAAAAGACAACAGAATGGTCAGGATTCACAGTCAAGATCATCGGGAGGATGAAGACAGGAGAATAGTGCTGGGATAGGGGAGCTGAGCTGCTGAGTCACTGCTGGGATAGGGGAGCTGAGTCATTGCTGGGATAGGGGTGCTGATCTACTGAGTCACTGCTGGGATAGGGAGCTGAGGAGTTATTGCTGGGATAGGGGAGCTGAGCTGATGAGTAACTGCTGGGATAGGGGAGCTGAGCTGCTGAGTCACTGCTAGGATAGGGGAGCTGAGCTGAGTCATTGCTGGGATAGGGGTGCTGAGCTGATGAGTAACTGCTGGGATAGGGGAGCTGAGCTGCTGAGTCACTGCTAGGATAGGGGAGCTGAGCTGAGTCATTGCTGGGATAGGGGTGCTGATCTACTGAGTCACTGCTGGGATAGGGGTGCTGATCTACTGAGTCACTGCTGGGATAGGGGAGCTGAGCTGAGTATTGCTGGGATAGGGGTGCTGATCTACTGAGTCATTGCTGGGATAGGGGTGCTGATCTACTGAGTCACTGCTGGGATAGGGGTGCTGATCTACTGAGTCACTGCTGGGATAGGGGTGCTGATCTACTGTCACTGCTGGGATAGGGGAGCTGAGCTGCTGAGTCACTGCTGGGATAGGGGTGCTGATCTACTGAGTCACTGCTGGGATAGGGGAGCTGAGCTGCTGAGTCACTGCTGGGATAGGGGTGCTGAGCTGCTGAGTCAATGCTGGGATAGGGGAGCTGAGCTCTGATTCACTGCTGGGAAGGGGGAGCTGAGCTGCTGAGTCAATGCTGGAATAGGGTAGCTGAGCTGCTGAGTTACTGCTGGGATAGGGGTAGCTGAGCTCTGAATCACTGCTGGGATAGGGGAGCTGATCTACTTGGTCACTGCTGGGATAGGGGAGCTGATCTACTTGGTCACTGCTGGGATAGGGGAACGGAGCTGCTGAGTCACTGCTGGGATAGGGGAGCTGATCTTCTGAGTCACTGCTGGGATAGGGGAGTGGAGCTGCTGAGTTACTCCTAGAAGGGGGAATGGGGGGTAGCTCCACAGCTGAAATGAAAGTGTTTTTTGCTGAAAATTTTGAAAATGAATTATTCCACAGTTCCTGCAGCTACACAGGTCAGTGAGCACTTGTTTTGAAGCGTATTTACTGCCGGTTAGGGATGTGGGGATTCCCATCTGCTGGACTAAGTTGCACTTTAAGAGTTACAATAAATCTTAATGTTAAGGTCACGATTGGGTGTCAGGGTTCTAGGAGAGGATTTTCGGTATGGGTGAATGTCTCTGAGGATGGGACGTTTGGTGCGTCATTCGCATGTATTTCGTCCAGCCGTCACAAGTGCCTCCTTTCTCTATACAGTCTTTATTTTCAGTTTCTGATTCGATTATGGAAGATTGATGCAGCCGGAAAAAATGTTAATTTTACGAGCTCCCCGGCCGTGCCGACGCCGATATTACAACAACTGTGACACGGAATTAAGCAGCAGTAATAAATTAAATGACATGGAGCACAGATGTACCAGCCGCACACCTGCTACCACGTTCAGGACCCCATGCAGAAGAATATTCATTGGCCATGTGTCGGGGGACAGACCAGCTGATGTGGGCTGTGAGGTCCCGGGGGTGGGGGTGGGGTGGGAAGCCTTCCGGCTACAGCTCTACAGCACACTGTCCTCTCTTCTAAGATATCCAGACCGGAGGGGATCCATTGAATGTTACTAGATTTCTGGAAGATGTGAGAATATCGATAGATATACAGGATATGGTGATCGTATTTACTGTTTAAGCTGCTTATATTTTGCCTTCTCTGGTTTCCCCATGTGCATCTCTATGCAAAGCAGGCAGATCATGGCAGGTGGGAGGGGCCAGCAGGGTGCTGTACATAGCTTCCTGAAAACATCCCAGCACCCTGCCTCAGTACTCTTCTCGGGAGCTATGAGTCCTGATGCAAGCAGTGGGCTGGCTCTTGGGAGGAGTTATGCAAATATCAAAATACCTCGATTGGTGGATGTCAGTCTGGAGGAGTGGGTGTACCTAAGCAGGCTGTATTTGCATGTCCACATATGACACCGATCCTCCATGATTGACAGAACTGAAATGCAATGAGTGAAAGGGGCGGGGCCAGGGATGGTCAGGCTGGGGAGGAATGCGCTAGATGCTGCTGGATGTCCTCCAGGCAGGAAATGAGGCGGAGCTCTGACTGGCTGCAGCTTCTAATGCACATTGTGAGAAGCTCCCAGTGTGCAGTGATATCAGAGGAAGACATTTCAGTCCAGGGGAGGAGCCGGTACACCTGTGCAAGAATGAATGGGAGGAGCCAGTACACCTATGCAAGACTGAAGGGGAGGAGCCGATACACCTGTGCAAGACTGAAGGGGAGGAGCCGATACACCTGTGCAAGACTGAAAGAGGAGCCGGAACACCTGTGCAATACTGAAGGGGAGGAGCCGGAACACCTGTGCAAGACTGAAGGGGAGGAGCCGGAACACCTGTGCATAACTGAAGGGGAGGAGCCGGAACACCTGTGCAAGACTGAAGGGGAGGAGCCGGAAAACCTGTGCAAGACTGAAGGGGAGGAGCCAACAACCTGTGCAAGAAGCAAGTATAACTGAACTGGGGAGGAGCCATACACCTGTGCAAGAACTGAAGGGGAGGAGCAACAACTGTGCAAGACTATAACTGTGCAAGACTGAAGGGGAGGAGCCAGTACACCTGTGCAAGACTGAAGGGGAGGAGCCGGTATACCTGTGCAAGACTGAAGGGGAGGAGCTGGAACATCTGTTCAAGACTGAAGGGGAGGAGCCGGAACACCTGTGCAAGACTGAAGGGGGGGACCTGTGCAAGACTAAAGGGGAGCCGGTACACATCTGTGCAAGACTGAAGGGGAGGAGTCGTACGCCTGCGCAAGACTGAAGGGGAGGAGGAGCCGGTACAAGACACCTGTGCAAGACTGAAGGGGAGGAGCCGGTACACCTGTGCAAGACTGAAGGGGAGGAGCTGGTACGCCTGTGCAAGACTGAAGGGGAGGAGCCGGTACACCTGTGCAAGACTGATGGGGAGGAGCCGGTACACCTGTGCAAGACTGAAGGGGAGGACACCTGTACACCTGTGCAAGACTGAATGGATCTTAACAGCACCCCAACACATTTAGTAAACGCACGCATTCCTGACTGACAGAACGCATGGCACTGCAGTACCATGCGTTTTAGTGCAGCACAATTTTGAAAATCACGCCTGCGCCTTTGTTTTTTTTTTTCCCGTGCCTCGGTCAGTCCTCTGAAATTGATGAACTGTCCTAAAATGAGATGCATGGGAATGCACAATCATGCATGCTGGGACACACAGGGTTTGAATCACTGTCCATGACTATTATTATACTGCAGCTCACCAATTCTTAGATGTGCTGGCTGCATTCGTTTTCTTTGTTGAGGCTTTCTTTCTTCTGTTTCCATTTACTGATCCGGTCAGTAGGTCTGTTGTTTTTCAGAAGCACAAGCTCTCCAGCAGAATGTATCAGTTACAGGGATGACACAACCAATTACCACCGACAGGGGCGCTTACCATGATCAGCTTTTAATTATTCCTGGTAAAACTTTATCCCAAAAGGAACAAAAACTGTAACTGATTACAACATGTGAGCTGGAATTTGGATTCAGTTTGCTAGTGTATCTAAATCTGCTACTCCCCTCCAGACTGACCATGTTGTTGTATGCTGTGCCTCCTGTGCTCCTTCATCCAGAGCGGGGGCGCTCTGATGAGAGGTGTGTTACCAGGTGAAAACAGAGGGGGGAAAAAAGTCTAAAAAAAAAAAAAAAACGAATGCAGCCTCCACATTTAATGATTGGTGAGCTGCAGGTGTGTCCCTAGGGTTGGTGTCACCCGATGCGGTAACACTTGGTGACACCCCCTCCGACGATCCCCGCAGGATGCATCGGATCAGCGGATTGAGCATAATGGATCGGACTCCGAACCATTATGCTCCCCAATCCGCAGATCCAAACCATCCTGCGGGGATCGTCGGCTTTTTTTACAACTTACCTTTTCGTGGAGCGGGTCCGGTGTCACCCCGTATAGGTTGCATGATGACAATCCCCGCAGGATGGATGGGATCTGCGGATTGGGGAGCATAATGGTTCGGAGTCCCATTCATTATACTCAGTCTGCAGATCCGATCCATCCTGCGGGGATCATCATCATGCAACCTATACCCGGGGCGGACTCAGGAATGGACTGACCATTTGGAAACTTGGGCACTGCCCGAGGGCCCGGGGTCAGTAGGCGGCCCCATGAGATGCCCCTGGTACCTTTTTCATAGGCTTTTTTGAGTTTGGGCAAGGACACAGGGGCTCCATGATCCCCTTTTGCCCGGGGGCCCCATGAGTTGTCAGTCCGCCCCTGGGCGGACTGACAACTCATGGGGCCCCAAGGCAATAGGGGATCATGGGGCCCCTGTGTTCTTGCCCACACTCAAAGTACACCCAAAAAAGTCTATGAACAAGGTACCAGGGGCATCTCATGGGGCCCCCTACTGACCCCGGGCCCTCGGGCAGTGCCCAAGTGCTCGAATGATCAGTCCGCCCCTGCACTGGACCCACTCCACGAAAAGGCAAGTTGTAAAGAAAGCCGACGATCCCCGCAGGATGGATCCGATCTGAGGATTGAGCGTAATGGATCCATCCTGCGGGGATCGTCGGCTTTCTTTACAACTTACCTTTTGGTGGAGCGGGTCCGGTGTCACCCCCGTGCGCTAGGTGTCACCTGGTGCAGATCTGATCCATCTCGCAGGGATTGTCGGCATGCGACCTATACGGGGGTGACACCGGACCCGCTCTGCGAAAAGGTAAGTTGTAAAGAAAGCCGACGATCCCCGCAGGATGGATGGGATCTGTTGATTGGGGAGCATATTGGATCGGACTCCGATCCATTCTGCTCAATCCGCAGATCGGATCCATCCTGCGGGGATTGTTGCTTTCTTTACAACTTACCTTTTTTTAGAGTGGGTCCAGTGCAGGGGCGGACTGACCATTTGGAAACTCGGGCACTGCCCGAGGGCCCGGGGTCAGTAGGGGCCCCATGAGATGCCCCTGGTACCTTTTTCATAGGCTTTTTTGAGTTTGGGCAAGGACACAGGGGCCCCATGATCCCCTATTGAGGGGGGTCAGTAGGGGGCCCCATGAGATGCTCCTGGTACCTTTTGCATAGGCTTTTTTGAGTTTGGGCAAGGACACAGGGGCCCCTGATCCCCTATTGCCCGGGGGCCCCATGAGTTGTCAGTCCGCCCCTGGTCCGGTGTCACCCGGTGTGGCGCGCACCCCCCGCACCTGCCTCGGGACGCCACTGGTGAGGTGCAATATATGACATTTTTGGTTTGGGGTTTAAATATCAGGACTGGCCCTTTAAGAGCGCCGCAGTCCCTCATGATAGTCCTTCCTCGCCCTCCTTGGCTCTGTGTTAGTGAATAGGAAGCGGATTTCCTCCTCTAATGAAGCTTGTTGTGAGTCCCAGGCATGAATGTAATACAAAGCAGCATTAAGTAGTCCTGATGAAGAGGCCGATCAATAGGCGTTCTGGGGGGGGGGGGGGGGGGGGGGGGGGAGGTTTTCCCTTGAAAAGCCGCACTGACCGCGGACACGAGTGCTTTGTGTTTTCAGGGTCTTTTTAAAAAGCGCAGAGAGCGCCCCCCCCCCCCCCGCCCAGCCTGCCACACGCCAAGCCTAATCCCCACTCACTCCATGCTACCTACCATATGCTCCACGCTGCGGCCATTGTCTCCCCCCCGTAATATAGACATTTCCCCCCTTTAATGAACCGCCGGGGAATTCGCTCAATATAGGCCGAGCCTCAGATGTGCGCCGCCGCTGAATGAAAGGCCATTATTTTTTCCCTTTAATCTTTTTTTTTTTTCTTTAATTAGATTGGAAGGTGAAAATTGTAGCATTTTAATAGGAAAAAAAAATCAACGACTCATAAAAAGCAGCCAATCGGTCAGAGGAGAAAAATAAATATTTTGTAGCATTCGCAGCACGTCAAGTCTTTATTTGTATCAAATCGCGGCCCAGCGCCCGGAGCGCGTAACGGAACGTTTGTCTGCGATAATCTGCCCGGTCCCTGAGCAACCCCGAGAAGTCCTGATCCCAGGGAAGGGAACGGAGATTGTATATCGTGTGCTTGGATAGAAATGCAAATGAGGAACTCTGGCTCCTCCCCTTCAGTCTTGCACAGGTGTACCAGCTCCTCCCCTTCAGTCTTGCACAGGTGGACCTGCTCCTCCCCTTCAGTCTTGCACAGGTGTAGCTGCTCCTCCCCCTCGGTCTTGCACAGGTGTAGCTGCTCTTGCACAGGTGTAGCTGCTCCTCCCCCTCGGTCTTGCACAGGTGTACCGGCTCCTCCCCTTCAGTCTTGCACAGGTGTAGCTGCTCCTCCCCTTCATTCTCGCACAGGTGTATCGGCTCCTCCCCTTCAGTCTCACACAGGTTGTACGGCTCCTCCCCTTCAGTCTTGCACAGGTTTACTGGCTCCTCCCCCTCAGTCTTACCAGCTCCACCTGTCTTGCACGGTTCCTCTCCCCCTCAGTCTCGCACAGGTGTACTGGCTCCTCCTCCTCAGTCTCGCACAGGTATACCGGCTCCTCCCCCTCAGTCTTGCACAGGTGTGCCAGCTCCTCCCCTCAGTCTCTCACAGGTGTACTGGCTCCTCCCCCTCAGACTCACACATGTGTGCCAGCTCCTCCCCCTCAGTCTCACACAGGTGTACCAGCTCCTCCCCCCCAGTCTCGCACAGGTGTTGTACCAGCTCCTCCCCCTCAGTCTCGCACAGGTGTACCGGCTCCTCCCCCTCAGTCTCGCACAGGTGTGCCGGCTCCTCCCCCTCAGTCTCGCACAGGTGTGCCGGCTCCTCCCCCTCAGTCTCTCACAGGTGTGCCGGCTCCCCCCTCGCACAGGTGTGCCGGCTCCCCCTCAGTCTCTCACAGGTGTGCGGCTCCTCCCCCTCAGTCTGCGGCACGCACAATCACTCTTTCATTGGGGCAGGTCTCATTCCATGTACAGCTGGCTGGATCAGATGACGGGCTGAGCTGAGGGTTACTGAGGTAAATGACACTCTACTATATTTATCCTGTCCCCTTACTCATGTATTTACCACCCCCCTGAGAGCATGACATCAGCTCATGTCACTCGCCCAGGAGGTCCCCGGGGCCCCGAGATCACAGGTGTTGGCTGTATGATCTAATCACTGGCAATATGTGACAACCTTCACACTGCTGGAGAATCTGTTCTTACTCTGTATGTATGGACTCTGCACAGTCCCACTTCTCCTGTCCTGGATGCCGGGTGTCATTCTTGTATCTGTCTCCATTCTGTATGTATGGACTTTGCACAGTCCCACTTCTCCTGTCCCGGATGCCGGGTGTCATTCTTGGTATCTCCTCTCATTCTGTATGTATGGACTCTGCACAGTCCCACTTCTCCTGTCCTGGATGCCGGGTGTCATTCTCGGTATCTGTCCCCATTCTGTATGTATGGACTCTGCACAGTCCCACTTCTCCTGTCCCGGATGCCGGGGGTCGGTCATTCTCGGTATCTCCTCTTATTCTGTATGTATGGACTCTGCACAGTCCCACTTCTCCTGTCCCGGATGCCAGGTGTCATTCTCGGTATCTGTCCCCATTCTGTATGTATAGATTCTGCACAGTCCCACTTCTCCTGTCCGGATGCCGGGTGTCATTCTCGGTATCTGTCCCCATTCTGTATGTATGGACTCTGCACAGTCCCACTTCTCCTGCCCCGGATGCCGGGTGTCATTCTCGGTATCTGTCCCCATTCTGTATGTATGGACTCTGCACAGTCCCACTTCTCCTGTCCGGATGCCGGGTGTCATTCTGGTATCTGTCCTTATTCTGTATGTCTGCACTGATAATACATTCCAGGTTCTAGAAAGCTTTGACCAATCAGCAGCCCAGGAATCATCTCTGCGGGATACATACTGTACAATGCTTTTTTCACCAGATAAAGATTTGGCCAATCATTGAGCTCTGTATCCCGTCCCTGTGCTGGGATTGGCTGGACTGTCTTTGTCTTGAGGATTCAGCACCCTTCATATAGAACTGTCTTCTTTCCTCTGAGGAAGCAGATTTAATACCGGGAGGCGTGTTGGGAAGTCTCCGCCTCCCTCGGCATGTGTCAGCTCATTGGTCGAATCTTCATTTAATATTGATATAGAAATAATCTGCCTGAGCCGATCCAGGAGATGGGAGACACTTGGAAGACTTTGTTTTTGGAAATGTTAAGAAAACTTTGTAATACAAAGTACAAAACTTTACACCGCAATGTAATATAAAGTACAAAACTTTACACCGCAATGGAATACAAAGTACAAAACTTCACACCGCAATGTAATACAAAGTACAAAACTTTACACCAAATGTAATACAAAGTACAAAACTTCACACCGCAAATGTAATGGTACAAAATTTAAACCGCAATGTAATACAAGTACAAAACTTTACACCAAATGTAATACAAAGTACAAAACTTTACACCAAATGTAATACAAAGTACAAAACTTTACACCGCAATGGAATACAAAGTACAAAACTTTACACCGCAATGTAATACAAAGTACAAAACTTTAAACCAAATGTAATACAAAGTACAAAACTTTACACCAAATGTAATACAAAGTACAAAACTTTACACCAAATGTAATACAAAGTACAAAACTTTACACCAAATGTAATACAAAGTACAAAACTTCACACCGCAATGTAATACAAAGTACAAAACTTTACACCGCAATGTAATACAAAGTACAAAACTTTACACCAAATGTAATACAAAGTACAAAACTTTACACCGCAATGTAATACAAAGTACAAAACTTTCACACCGCAAATGTAATACAAAGTACAAAACTTTACACCAAATGTAATACAAAGTACAAAACTTTACACCAAATGTAATACAAAGTACAAAACTTTACACCGCAAATGTAATACAAAGTACAAAACTTTACACCAAATGTAATACAAAGTACAAAACTTACACCGCAATGTAATACAAAGTACAAAACTTTACACCAATGTAATACAAAGTACAAAACTTCACACCGCAATGGAATATACAAAGTACAAAACTTTACAACCAAATGTAATACAAAGTACAAAACTTTACACCAAATGTAATACAAAGTACAAAACTTTACACCGCAATGGAATACAAAGTACAAAACTTTACACCGCAATGTAATACAAAGTACAAAAAACTAATACAAAGTACAAAACTTTACACCAAATGTAATACAAAGTACAAAACTTTACACCGCAATGTAATACAAAGTAAAAACACCAAATGTAATACAAAGTACAAAACTTTACACCGCAATGTAATACAAAGTACAAAACTTTACACCGCAATGTAATACAAAGTACAAAACTTCACACCGCAATGTAATACAAAGTACAAAACTTTACACCAAATGTAATACAAAGTACAAAACTTCACACCGCAATGGAATACAAAGTACAAAACTTCACACCAAATGTAATACAAAGTACAAAACTTTACACCAAATGTAATACAAAGTACTAAAGTTCACAATGCTAAATAATACAAAGTAATAAACGTTACAATACAAAGTACAACACTTTACACACAGGGGTGGACTGACAACTCATGGGGCCCCCAGGCAATAGGGGATTATGAGGCCCCTTTGTCCTTGCCCACACTCAAAGCACACCCAAAAAAGCCTATAAAAAGTACCAGGAGCATTTTATGGGGCCCCCTACTGACCCTGGGCCCTCGGGCAGTGCCCAAGGGCTCGAATGGTCAGTCCGCCCCTGTTTACACCGCAATGTAATACAAAGTAAAAAAATTATATAATACTACAAGAATCTTTTGATTCTACTTCATCCAAGTGCGCCCACACGGAAGAAAAATATATTTTAAAAATATTCTTCCCAAATATATTGACATATATTTGAAATGCTACAATTTTGGTCGTATTCATTATATATACTGTATGCTGAAATGCGTTTTTTAACATATTACAAAATATATGAACACTATTTTGAAAAAGATATATTTTTTTAAATATATTCTTCAGATTTTTTTTTTTTTAACATATCAAAAAGTCATTTTAAACATATATCTGTAAATGCGTTCCAAAAAATGTAGATTAAATGTATTATTAAAGACATGCAGCATTTTTGAAAATGTATTTTTTTAAATATTTTTCATAAATTTTGTAATATATAAAACAACACCTTTCAACATGATATATATATCTGTTTCCTCTTCTCTTGTACCAAATTGTATTGTAAGGCTACGTTCACACTAGCCTTGTGTGTAGGCGGCAGAGAGGCGTTTGGTAAGCTTCCCAAACGCCTCTGCCAATTCTGCACATTACAGCACATGGTGCTGTTCTAACGGGAGCGAGCGTTTGCGTCGTCACGGCAAAACGGACGCCTCTGGACGAGTCAGGAGGCTTTGAAGCCTCCTATTCTTGTCTATGGTGCCGCTCCGCAAACGCCCGGCCGGCGTTTGCGGTGCGGTTGCGACGCGGTTGCGGGGCGTTTGCGCAGCGGTAACACCACTCAAACTGCATTATAGGCGTTTGTGGGGCGTTATTAACGCTCGGCAAACGCCTAGCAACCGCCGCTAAACCGCGCATGCGGCGTTTGCGGAGCGTTTGCCGAGCGTTAATAACGCTCTGCAAACGCCGGACCAACGCTTGCCAAACGCTATAGGGGCGTTTGGCAAGCGTTGGCAAAACAGCCTAGTGTGAACGAGCCCTTACTGTCATGTCTGCCTTCATGTTGTAAAGTGCTGAGCAAACTGTTGGCGCCATATAAATCCTGTATAATATAATCATTGTATATATAAATCCTGTATAATATAATCATTGTATATATATATATATCCTGTATAATATAATCATTGTATATATATAATATATCTGTATAATATAATCATTGTATATATATATCTGTATAAATATAATCATTGTATATATAAATCCTGTATAATATAATCATTGTATATATATAAATCCTGTATAATATAATCATTGTATATATATAAATCCTGTATAATATAATCATTGTATATATATATATCTGTATAATATAATCATTGTATATATATATATCCTGTATAATATAATCATTGTATATATATAAATCCTGTATAATATAATCATTGTATATATATATATCTGTATAATATAATCATTGTATATATATATAAATCCTGTATAATATAATCTGAATTGTATATATAAATCCTGTATAATATAATCATTGTATATATATAAATCCTGTATAATATAATCATTGTATATATATATATATATCTGTATAATATAATCATTGTATATATATATCTGTATAATATAATCATTGTATATATAAATCCTGTATAATATAATCATTGTATATATAAATCCTGTATAATATAATCATTGTATATATATAAATCCTGTATAATATAATCATTGTATATATATAAATCCTGTATAATATAATCATTGTATATATATAATATATCTGTATAATATAATCATTGTAATATATATATATCTGATATATATAATATAATCATTGTATATATATATATCCTGTATAATATAATCATTGTATATATATATATCCTGTATAATATATAATCATTGTATGCCCAATATATAATATATCTGTATAATATAATCATTGTATATATATATCCTGTATAATATAATCATTGTATATATAAATCCTGTATAATATAATCATTGTATATATATAAATCCTGTATAATATAATCATTTGTTGTATATATATAAATCCTGTATAATATAATCATTGTATATATATAAATCCTGTATAAATATAATCATTGTATATATATATATATCTGTATAATATATAATCATTGTA